TAAATTAACTACGTTAAACATAAGACATTGTGACTATCGAATCAAAAAATGAGGCCTAGTTGTTTAGACTAAACCAATTTCCTGTATAAAAAATACTTTCATTACACAGTTCTAGCTATGGTACTTGAAAACAAGATGTTCTGAAAGTAAATGTTATGTAAAAGTGTTATTTGGAACTTTGTCAATCGTCTATATTTCAATAAAATTACAACCTTTTCTTACCTGACAAGGGAAGAAGATCCATCTTCCGAAACGTTGTAATTTTATTGAATATGATATTATGGACAAGTTCAAGATACAACCACTTTCACAGATTATAAGGTATCGTCGCTAGAAACTTTTAAAACTATACACTTTAACTGCCCATAAAATTACAACATGGCGTATTCTGTCGCGCATAAATTATATAGCCCCAACATTTCACCTACTTGTTTCAAAAATAAGGAATAAACCTCAAAGAACACTACAATATATGTAAAATGAGAAAATCGGTAACGAAAAACTTCTGAAGTATTATACGAAATGGATCATCTCCTTGGTAACACACGACGTTAACTGAATCTCATACTTTAACAACGTAGAAGTGACTTTCTTTCTATGGTCATGAGAAACACTGTGGTTTCTCAGTTGTTGTGTTTTAGTTGAATAGCTATCAACATGCTGCTTTCTATCTTCTGAGTTAGTTTATGCCAATGCCAAATTATGGCAACAATATGATATCCCGATTACAAATAAACCCTGCAAGCAAGAGGCCATCACAGTCTACGTATATAACTGTAAATATTCGAATTAGTTTATTAAGAACATTCGTCACTTCCGGTGTTCATAACCTCTCCATCATGTAATGGAAATGATAAACAAAACAATACTAAAATTATCGAAAGAAAAGAATGTATGTTACAAAGGTTGCATTTACCTTGTCCGAGAGGTGACATCAGCGGTGAGCCGAACGCTATCAAAGCCAGGTGTACTACGATGACCGTCGCCACTAATGTCGCTCCAGGAACCAACATTGTTGGTAGGATACTCACATTATCTTACGTCATACCACTGTAACAATTTGATGTTCATCCAAACACAGCAATGATCACCATAAAAAGTATTTCGAATACCGCCGAGCATGGATTGAAAAACACTGTCAGCTGTCACACATTTCCATCCTTTCACTTCCTCCAGAACACTACAACGTTCCGCTTCTTCTGCTCTTTGACAACTAGACACGTACGTCGATCGATGAAAACATTCAGCAGATGGCAGTAATAAACAAACTATTAGTGCGTTATCTATTATGCAATAGTAGAACTACAAATACACATTTAATAATTTATATTAACACTCTGTAGATGTCAGACATAGACATGCGTTGCTATCAGTACCATCTATTGAAGATACTTCTAACTACGTTCCAAAAGCTTCTCATGTGAATGAGCCTGCTCATAATGGAAGTTACTTTCATTTTTTACGTAAAAGTGGAATTAACAAACGGCGAACGTGCGCTACTGACTACAAACAATATGAGAAACAAAACAGTTTGGTGTGCCAATTATGCTGTTATCAAATGAAAATAAACTGTAGGACTTTAAAAGTGCTGCACTGAATATTGTATTGGAATGAATTTACTTTTTATATACAAAAGAAACTGAGTTTTCAGAGTTTAAGCAATGCCATCTCTTTGCCTTATCCTGAACCAGTGAAATCTAATTTCCTCATACCTTATACACTCATCTAAACTTTTCACATTATTCTGCCATCTACATCTTGGTCTTGCACTTTCCACGAGCCACCAGAGTTTGATGAAACTTTGAACTCTCTGCACCAGCAGAAAATTTCATGAATCATGTAAAAGTTAGTCAGATATCCTGAAAACTTAAATGTGGATTCTTGGGTGTTTGCCTCCAGTTGTAAATTACTCACTTAATGGGACGACATGAAGTGTTGCCTTGGGCCACACGTATAAAGTGGAATAAAGTGCACATCAGTGACAATGTATATTCAATATCACACAAAGGAACTCTTAAATTGTACATACAGAATTTATATTTGTAATAATACACAGTATTCGTTTTAAGAAGTTAATGTAAGGCTGAAAGTTTGCTTGGGCGCCAAATAACCTTGCACCAGCCCTGCATATGGTGGAAGATCAAGGCTATAATGCATATAAAACAATTATATTTATCACATATGCATTTTGCCAGATTTCTAGTAACACATCCAAAGCTTGAAAAACCAAAGTCCTTTATTTGTAAAACCAAAATTTTTCTACAAAAACATATGATTCCTTAGAATTATAGGCTCTAGTCTACAGACATTACACAAACTCTGCTTTCTCCTTACTACTGTATGAATTTATATTTACAGTACATACTTGACTGAATAATAAAGTTATTTATTTTTTCGGATATTTTATTTTGTCCACAAGCCTACTTCTTATCTTGCAAAAAATCAATCATTTACACAGGAATCTTCTTTCACGCATAATTTCAAGTTCACCGCGCCTTTAAGATACCCACGTGGACACTCCAAAAGTGTCAAAACGTAATTAAAACCAGTAGAAACAAGGGGGGGGGGGGGGTTGGAATGCAGAAAATTATTGGGCACCATAACATTCATACACTATACATTATTTTCATTAAGTAATAGTACGTGTAAATGTTTATTATATTACTCTACTAGGCTGGAGTTATGCTAAAAATCTTTGGTTTCAGGGTTTTGTACCCTTAATAAATGGCTCTCTAACTGCAGTCAACCCCCTACGAGCCATAAAATGATTAACGCACGTGTAATGAAATGTTTACAAAAGGTTACTCCAACAAACATGGAAATAGAATTAGCCGCACTCCCATTTTAATTACAACAAATCTAGACTCATCTTCCAATAAATAACGCAATGTCTTGTGCCCGTATCAATTCAGTTTCCCAATTATCACTACAAACCTAACGTACAATGGCAGCGTCAGGTGAAAAAATTGACTTTTAATTCACAGGGATAAAGTCACTAAAGATTTCAAAATTCTTGTGCCCTAATAATAAACCAAACCCTTAATCATTTTGGAATGTTCCCACATCATTAATGATAGTTTATGCACTGCAGTGGTTACTTTGGTATCAAAAGACAAAAAACTGATTACGATTGTGAACCGAAAAGGATAAAGAGTGTAGTCGTGCAGAAAATGGGTACCATAAAATTAATATGTAAGACTTGAGGTTCTCACAGCGGTGAGTATGAAGATTTCTGTCTTCTGGGTTCTTGCGCTGTGTAGTCTGGTCGATGTTTACCGACGTTTCGGAGGTCATACTGCCTCCATCATCAGGGCGATAAGTATGAAGATTTCTGTCTTCTGGGTTCTTGCGCTGTGTAGTCTGGTCGATGTTTACCGACGTTTCGGAGGTCATACTGCCTCCGTCATCAGGGCGATCGCCCTGATGACGGAGGCAGTATGACCTCCGAAACGTTGGTTAACATCGACCAGGCTACACAGCGCAACAACCCCGAAGACGGAAATCTTCATAAAATTAATACATTTACAGAAAACTCAAAACTGAAGAACGTTATAAATGTTAAAAGTATCCTGGCGTTTTGTAAATAATGCAAAATTATGAGACGATAACAGTCTTTGGGGTTGATGTAACGTGTGTATGCCGTTCAAAATAGTTATTCCAATTTGGATTCTTAGCACATGACACATAATTGCTAATGCCATACACACATATAAAATTTCCCTCAATACCCAACTTGATTATGCAAAGGGAAAAAATTAAGAAAGGAAGACACATGCTTGAGGCATTACTTACAAACGTTTTCAAAATACCTCATCAACAGTTCATCATACCCAAGAATTTATATTGCACAGATATTTTAATATTTAAATTATACTGTTTTGCCCACAGTGTCACAATGTTGATTCGGTAATTACGTAATAAAGTAAAATATTCAAAATATTTCTGAACTGGGTTGTTGGTAGGTTCGTACATTTCTTGAAGATACTGTATAATACATAGCTTATTAGTATCAAATGGTATAAGGCAGTAACTATTTGCATTCAACTGGAAAGAATGTGGTCATGTCCTATTTCAAGGTACTATTCCATAACTAGCCTGGAGTGGATGAGGAAAACCAAGAAAAGGATTCAGTAAGAACTGACATTACTTTGGGGGGGACATTCTGACCAGGCACATTTCAGTTATAAATCACATGCAATATATCTTAATCTAAGATAATCAATATGCCTACATAGCAATAGGATCTTCTAAATCCAAACAGTTCTAATGATGGCGGATTTACATTCATTACACGTGTTTCTCTGGACGTGATCCATCATTCGATATTCCAACACAAAGTCTCCGTGTTCAGCTCCCATCTTCGGGTGGAAATACCTGTGCCTCAATTTGTATTAGTCCCTTATATCAGATCAAACAGAATATGAATTTTGACCTGAAGAAGGAAGCACTGCCAGCTCCTAAAATATAGAGGCTTCACTTTTAGAATATTGATCAATGGATGAAGTCCAGGGAAAAACCAATACTGTAATAGGACGATATAAGGCAGTGGTATTCAACCTGGGGTACGCGAAGACATCTTAGGGGGTACGTGAAATTTAAAAAAGAAATATTATTTTATGATAAACACTGAATAATCAGTAATGTAATTTATTTAATTTATTTTAGATGTAGATTATATACTATGTAGAACTTGAATTATACACCAACAACTTTGGGGGTACAAAGTTGAAGAGAAATTATATCTGGGGGTACGCGAAGGCATCTTAGGGGGTACGTGAAATTTAAAAAAAAAAAAAAATTCATGATAAACACTGAATAATCAGTAATGTAATTTATTTAATTTATTTTAGATGTAGATTATATAATATGTATAACTTGAATTATACACCAACAACTTTGGGGGTATAAAGTCGAAGAGAAATTATATCTGGGGGTAAGCAAACCAAAAAGGTTGAATACCACTGATATAAGGTATAGAAATAAACCTCTACACAAGCAAATATAATGTTAACTTTCACTGTCCGTGAATCACAGTTTATGCGAAGTCCAGTTATGTGTTGCACTAGCATACTGCTAAATCATTTTTCAGAAATGTCCTTCTTCCTGACATTTCTAGGTTAGAGTTAACGGTCAATCCCAAATCTCACAGAGTTAAAATATTTTTCGTAATACGTATTGTAATTCACAAATAAGGGATAAACAACGGATGTGGCACTTGGGTGTAACAATCCAAAAACCCAAATCACATTTTTCTTCTAGAGTTAAGCTTTTGTAAGATACAAAAGATTATAAAAATTTTCTTCTATTTAAAGAATGAAAAGGAATTAATACACATCTCAGGGGCATTTTACCTCAAGGAAAGAGACCAGTAAGAATTCAAAACACATACAAGTGACGTGAATAAGTAAATTTAACAAAGATTATCTTGAAACTCACCAACTTCCGATTGATAAGCGACCGAGCAATACTTTTAAGCCCTCACTGGTCTACTTTCTAGTACCTTCAATATGAAAAGCCGCAGGAACGAGTGCTCTGCTTCAAAAACCACTGTGCTTCAAACACACGGTTCCACATAGTTCCCTGGGAAGAGTCCCGTGATGCCATCCATGACACCTTCCCACCAACCATCATCATTCTTCTTCAGCACATATATGACCGAGCTCTCTTGAAAACTAAGTTCGTCCTCTTTGTCTGCATAGTAATCATAGATTGCAACCACTAAAAAGAAAAACAAACGTGCAATGGTTCTGCCATATTTACCACACAGTAAAACATTTTTAAAAATCATTCTAATATAATATTTTATCATTATTTCCTGACATAGCGAGGAGAGGGAATTTGACCTGATGATGGTGACACTGGACTGAAACACGGTGCACAACCGAATGGACAGTGAAGAGCGTGTAAGAAGCGATCGACAAGAAAAACCAAGAATTGTTGAATCTTGGTTTTTCTTGTCCGTAACACAGTAAACTCATTAAGATCACACATCAGATTATCTCAACTTTGAAGATGAACTGTATTGCATTTAATTGATTAAAAGAGGTTTTTATACTGTTGATAAGAAAAGGGTCTCTTGAGCAGAGGTTCCTGACGTGACTATACAAGAAATTTTCTTGTTTTTATCTGTTATTGTTCACAACGTCATGAATAAAGAGACAGACTGAAGTACTTCTGGTTCACACTAGAACAGTCTTTATGGGCTCTTATGGAAAAACAATTAAATACGACAGACTCGTTCATATACCGTGACTTCCGCATTTTAGTAACGACAGAAACAAACCTGATAACAAAGACAAAAATTATGACACGTTGTGGAAAACAGAAACTATTCTTGATATATTCAATGAAGCATATGCTAATTACAGCCAAATGGAACACTTAGCAGCTGATGAAATCACTTTCACTCCACTTAATGGTACCTGCACCTTCGTGGTGGTGGGGCTTGAGTGCCTCAGTGACCCCAAAAGCTATGCTGGCGGTAACATAGCTACTGGTAGGGTCTCCCTAAAGGGTAAGTTGGCGGCTGCAGTACGGAAAGACAAACCGAATGTAAACACATTTACAAATATGCATCATCTTCCAGCAGAAGGTAATTTCTGTGATGAGTATGAAAATGGGTTGAAACCAGAAATTGTACAAAACAATCTACACAATCAGTTTACATGCAAAAACATAATTTACTGATGAATAATGTAACTTTTTCACATCATCATCATTAAGCTCCTGATTTCAGGGTATTATTAAATTAAAGATAACCACACAGAAATGTGATTATTTCATGCTTAAAGCTACACTTAACACCAACATTTCATAACTAAATGGCATCTATTTCCATTCAACGCAGTCAAAATTAAACATAATCTGCAGTAATGTCAGTGACATTACATAAGCGATAAACAAAACAATCAACGGCAGGTTACCTTTCTCAATGTAGTTCTTGGGGACCCATCCTGGCAAGTCCTCTTCATCTGGAACAATCGGCATCATCCTTCCGGCATGCGGACGGCCAAACCCCGCATGCTCATCCTCGGGGGGAGGTGGCGGTGGAAGTGGGGGAGAAGCGTTGCCAGGACGATGCTGATGATGAAGAGCCTGAGCCGGTGCATGGTGATGAGGCAGTGTATGGGAGTGATGCAGATGATGTAGGCTGCCATGGTCAACTGTGTCACCACCACTATTTATCACTATTGAGAGTGGAGAAGGAGGAGCTGAAAAATATGAAGATAACACAGGATAAAATTTACTCTACAAATACAAGGAGTTTCACAAAAGTCAACAGAGCTATTCACACATGCGCACACAGACATTACAGTTCTACAATTTTAGCTCAAACATAGAAATAAAGTTCCATTTAACATAACAGAGAATTCTGAAGTAACACAGTGCACGAACACAGACTAAGGCAATGTCCTACGTAAGTGATAACAAGCGAGCTACCAGAGCTGCATAAGCAGCGTGGGGTGTCATGAAACGGGGAATCGCTTGTTGTGTCCTACGTGAGAGACCGCAATAGAATTCCTGCGCATGCGCCTTCCATGTACTGCGCGGTCAGAGCTTTCTTGCGCGTGCGCCTTACTGGCCAGCGCAGGGACTCGCGCGAGAATATCAAAATATTTGATCTCGGATTTTGGCCGCTTCCCTCTCCTGACCGCGTCGCTGGAACCTAGGACAGTGCCACACAAACAACCAGTTTGATATTTCTGCTTCACCCACGGGACTCGCACCGCTCACGTAGGACAGCGGGTAAGGGTGTGTGAGATAAAGAGCATTCAGACCCAACAGAGTAAAAGTAAATGGAGGATGGAAAAACTATAAAATCTTACTCTCCCTGACCATCTGAATAACTATTAGTTCACAAAAAACTCTACTTCATGGTGTGGGTTGGTTACATTTACCGGTTCAAAACACAAGACTGAGCAACTCACGCGGCATGCTGGAGTGGTGGTCCAATGTGTACGAATTTGGTGGTGGTGGAGGCGGAGGAGTCTGCGGGTGCGATGACTGCACAGTCTGCTGAATGTTGTGAGGTATTGGATGCACCATGCCTACCTGAGGGGGGGACATGGGAGGAGAAGGGTGGGGAACATGCTGCTGAGTGTGGTGAGGCAGCGTATGGGAATGCATGTGTACCGAGGGAGGCATTGGCAAGGTGCTGTAACCAGCGCCCCTCTCTCCTCGACGAGGGTGTCCAAGTGGATAGTTGGGCGCATAGTGACTTGGCACCTGTAAATGTCACATAACATGAGGTACATTAAAGTGTCCATTATATAAAGTTATTCAATAAAAACAACCAAAATGGCAAATGCACAATCTTCAGGTGGCAGAAATAACAGCACCACTTAATATGGAATCTTGAAATGATGTATACTAGATCTTTGAAAAATACACAGCTCTCATTACAGTAATTATGTGTATAATGTAAAACAAAGTGGAAGTTGCAAGAAAAATATAAAAAAATTCCACCCCATCCACAATTTCATAACATGACCATCTGCACACAAGTCCAGTAAACTAGCACAGAGCAAAATGCATTGTATCGTAGAATTATGGATGTAATCACTTAATAAATCCAGTCTGAGTGCCTATAGTTTTACCTGTTGTTATAAGACTTTAATCAGTACAAGAAAATACATTTCAAACCACAGTGACTTTTTATTAATGTACATAAAAAGATAATTTTTAATTTTTCTAGAGACTTCAATGCTGGCATACATAAAACTGGAACTACTTTAATAAATTAATACTATGCTACGTGCCAGGACTCCAACTGCAAAATGAAGAATTTATGTTGAATGACTCTGATAATGAATGTATACATGACCTACCAGAATATGGTGGTGATTCCAGGAAAGCGCAAGAAGCAGCAAAGACACGGCTGTTTCTGATCCATGACTAATTAAACTGTACTGTTTCACGGCACATTACGAGAATCAACACTTGACTGCTTACGACTAGTACAAACTAATACAGCATTTTACCTAATGTTGACAGTGCGTGGTTAGTGCTAGAGCTTCGTATTTGGAAGGTCCCAGTTTCAAATCTCTGCCCAGAGACTGGTTTCCTCACCTGAGACAATTTTTCATGACTTCTTTTGTTGTTCCAGGCACAGGATAAGAAGCTACATCCTTTAACACGACATCATAACTGACCATTAAGAGAATCAGTTAAAATCTACTGGCTTGAATTAAGTGTTCAGATTACCAACCTCTTCTTCTTCTTAGGCAATGTCCTACGTAAGCGATAAGAAGCGAGCTGTGCGAGCTGCATAAGCAGCATGGGGTGTCATATGACATAAGGGAATCGCTTGTTGTGTCCTAGGTGAGAGAAACACACGGCCTTCCTGCGCATGCACCTTCCCTGTACTGCACAGTCAGAGCTTATCTGCGCATGCGCCTTCCCGGCCAGCGCTGCGATTCGCGCGAAAATATCAAAATATTTGATCTCGG